TGTTGTTGTTGTTGTTGTTGTTGTTGTTGTTGTTGTTGTTGTTGTTGTTGTTGTTGTTGTTGTTGTTGTTGTTGTTGTTGTTGTTGTTGTTGTTGTTGTTGTTGTTGTTGTTGTTGTTGTTGTTGTTGTTGTTGTTGTTGTTGTTGTTGTTGTTGTTGTTGTTGTTGTTGTTGTTGTTGTTGTTGTTGTTGTTGTTGTTGTTGTTGTTGTTGTTGTTGTTGTTGTTGTTGTTGTTGTTGTTGTTGTTGTTGTTGTTGTTGTTGTTGATGTTGTTGTTCTCTTCCATTCTATGTAGGCATGTGCACTCTTTCATAAAAAAATAAAAGAAATAAAAAAAGTGCTGATGTGTAGATAGCTACTTTGGTGCTATTTTTCAAAATGCTGGTGTGGGCGCCTCCCTTGTTGGTGAATCGGAGGCAACAACTTTTATTACTGATAATTCAGCCAACCGTGGAACGTTTCATGTGTCTTTGTGTGCTGTGCTCTGGCAGAAATGTCCTGAGAGCAAACTGAACATGCAAAACTGTGACCTGCAGTTACCGGAAGACATTGCACCGCGTAGTATGTCCAAGGAGGTAAGCAGTACCCTATGGCTATGGCTATGGCTATGGCTATGAGTGGCGTGTTAAGCCTCTTGTACGGGCAAACACAGTGTCACCAGTGAATACTCTAAACCCAACACAATTAACGAGAACCGTGAAAAAAATGAATTTATGTATTAGAGTCAAATACCGAACACGCCTCAATACGGTAATATTTAGTATTTACCCTATCTACCGTATTGGCAATATATGTTGCCGCGTAACGCGTAACGCAGGGGGGTGCGGCGTAACGCGCGACTAGGCTAGTGCGACAAATTTTCGTTGAGTTCGTAACGCGCGTCCGGCGGGGTGCGGCGATCTTTTCATTGCAGTTTGCACTGCAAAAAAAGGCTGAAAACTGTGAAAGCACGTGTACCGCGTGGTGAAAAGTAGTTTTTGGAGGAAGCGCTCTTCCCCTATGTCACTTTCCTTTTGATGATCTTTTTGTGAACAGATCACTCTGATAATTAAAATATACATGTACAGTCTTCTATTGATATCGTTGTCGCCCTTTGCCGTCGGGTTTGTAACAGTTGGATAGCAACTGAATTTCTGTGCCTTCAATGTGGATGAAAAGAAAAAAATGATGCGGCAAAAGCAAAAAAATGATGCGGCAATAGCAAAAAAGTGATGCGGCAATAGCAAAAAAAGGACTGCGGCAATATAGAAACCTGTGTAACGGCTCCTGTGCGACTTTGCATGTAACGCCCTGCGTGCGGCAAACATGTGCCAATGTAACGCTTCATGGCCTCACTGCGGCAACATATATTGCCAGTACGGTATTCATAATGTCAGAACCCTGTGAGCGCACTACGACGGACTGGCTGTGCTATTGGAGGCGGCACGCCATCTCAGTCATTCTCCTTTCACTTGGCCTTTTTTTCCTTTCTTTGAGTGAGTCCTGGTCGGCGGCATGTTTAGTAGAATATGTATGTGTGGAATGGAAGTACATGTGCATGTGCCGTACTTTCCGGAGTAGAAGCCGCACTGGAGTATATGCCGCGCCCAGATTTTTTTGTAACAAAATACAGACATCTACCCTATTTATTACTGATAATTCAGCCATCGTAGTAAAAGCGGCACCGAATTTTCGTGGGTGAATCACGGGTGTTTAAAGTGCGGCTTATACTCCGGAAAATACGGTGCTCACTATAATGCAGTCACTTGACCTTTTGTACATGTGTGTGTGTGTGTCTGTGTGCGTGTGTGTGTGTGTCTGTCTGTGTGTGTCTGTCTGTCTGTGTTTTGCAGATGGCAAACCGGCGCCTGAAGATGGCTGATGGGTAAGTGTGTAGGATTGAGTTAGACCATCGTTATCAGTCCAACGGACATCCACACATCACCACTACATAATAGATGATATGCCCAGTATCGTGCAACTAGCCTTGGGAGAGCATTGCATACCAGTTGCATACAATTTACACTACGATGTGTACACGATAGGCCCTGAGCTCTGCAGGAGCACAAGTCACAGGTAACCGTACAACTTTGAACTTTGTATGCAACTACTAGTACTCTGCAATGCCCTCCCACGTCTAGTTGGACGTTATTTGCCATATCATCTATTGTATTCTCAATGCACCATGCTGCTGTCTATCCTGTTGCTGGGCAGGGGTATGTCATCATGGTCATTTGTTCAGCTCAACGCCGCGCGCACAGTATATACTAGATAGACAACTGCAGTCCACCACAACGTTGTGCACTGTACACCGCCCCCGTAGAGTAGCATGGGCATTCTAAGAACCCTTGTAAAAAGTCGTCACACCACCTGACCGTATAGGATCTGGTTACAACTTACGATAGTGGACCGCTCGTCGTAACTCATACCAAACTGTCCTTCCTCGTACCTACGAAGAGAAAAGTATGCTTGAGCATACCTTCTAGTGAAGATTGCTCTAGTGCGTTATGATCAAGACTGTTTGTTGATCTGCGTTATATTCTGCTTTAGTGCAACTAAAGTTCCACCGCCTCGCCGTCGACCTCCCTCAGGTAAGCTACAGTCGCATGCTAGAAGCAATGTTCCTTGCAGCCTTTTTTAAAAGGTTTTGCACTGCCAATAACTAGGTGCCGTAAGAAATTAAGTCACCGGTATTTAGCCGGTGTTGTTAGCCATGGTGAATGGACCTTGGAGGCTGGGCTGCGCTCCAATAGCTCTGAACTGTTTTTCCCTCTGTGTGTGTGTTTTTGTCTGTCTGTCTGTGCCTGTGCACATGCATGTGCATTTCTGTCCGTGTGTCTGTCTGTGCACGTGCATGCGTGTTTCTGGTGTATGCAGCACTGGACCTGCCCGCTCCACCAGAGCATCAGCCAATCATCCGTCACAACGAGTTGTCGCCGATACTGGATGGCACCGGCGGAGCGTCACTGGACTTTGATGAAGTAGAGGAACAGTTGCTGAGGCTCAAGGCTGGCAGAACGTGAGCACCGCCGACACACCACACACACACAGCATCACAACTCCCGAATACGGCGCCAAGAAAGCTCATCCTGGACTCGGTAGAGGACAGTTTCACCTATGGTACGGTCCGAAATCCTCCACGGAACAGCCGCGTTGCGCAATGAATGCAAATAACTGTCCTGATGCATTGCATATGTCCGATACCAACTGTGGATCTTCTCAGAGAATGAAAAGGTCAGTGCTTTACCAGGTCAGTTATACTAGCCTAACTCTTTTAGTGTTATTTTCCTACCCACCGTACTGGACTATTACCACCAAATGCATACACTGGAAACAGTCACTTGTACCAGTGACTCTTTCACTGGGATTGTTCTCCCGTCCACGACGGGACTTTCCCCACCAAACACGCACATCACCGTAGTATACTGCACAGTAGAGCTAAGTGCATTTCAAAGTTTTTTTGTCTCTGTCTATTTGCACCGACTTGCATGCTATCCATGACCCCTTGTCTTGAGCCACCGTGAGAGCGTAAAGAGAAATGGCACATGTTTTAACTGCCAGTACTTGAAGTCGTGTTATTTTTGAAGTAGTATTTTGTTTTATTCATAATATGGTGCTAAATACACCTGGCAATATGGCGGTGACTACACGCCTGCCCACACACGCTCTATTTTTTAAACTAATATTGTTACGGCTAGCCTTTAGTCAGCTAGAAACTTTTCCTGTGTGAAAATTGCAGCTTACAGCGGGCTTCACTATCTGCCACCTTATTATTATAATCATAATAAATTTATTTTTAACGTATAATATTTTTAACCGTCTCAAACATTCTGATGAAATATTATGCTAGGACACTGTTGCATCCCCTTGATGTTTTTCTCATAAAGCGGAGAATTTCGTTTCTCTATTTTTTTTGGAGAGCCCTGCCGAACTAACTTTAATAGGCTGTGTTATTTTTTATATACATCTACTAGTAGTAGACAGCCCCCCCCCCCCCCGCTAGGACCCGCACATGCACTTGCATTGCTGGGTCCCTCACATGCACTTGTATCTTAGGCATTCTGCTGTGGCTGGCCCTTTTGCAGTTGCTGCTGATGTTGTCTACAGTATAGATAATAATCATAGTGTACTGGAGCTATGAAGACAATTCCCTCAGACGAATGTATATTATTCGTTCTACTGAACTGCGACCTGGTGCTTAGTGTATGCTCACTATCACACTGCGTCACACAATCTACATTTCTGCAAGCAGAGGAAGCGAAAATAACGGGCAACAAACAGCCATGGGTTGTGTGCGGCATTCTGTCCAGCAAACAGATACGGTCAGATTTTTCCACGGACCTTTAATAAAACGTTTTCAATTTTTGTCCCAAAGTAAAAATTAGGGCTGAAACGATCGTGGATTTTCACCTATCGATTACTCTTTAGCTTAACGATCGAGTAATCGATTATAATCTTTAGCAAATAGCATCAGAATTTTGTGCAAAAATTATCCTGTTTCCAAAAGCTAGGCCTTCATAATACCAAAAATCTGCATTAGTGACAGGGTAGCTCCAAAACATGACAGTTTTGAAGTCAATTTAACCTCAGAATCTGCACGATGCCCCTGGCAACTGCATACACACAGCGGAAACTGATTCAAACTTCACAAAACGAGGGTTTTCAGTACTTTTTGGACTCAAAATTCCTAACGAGTAATCTATAACGTAACGATTACTTGATTTATAAGGAATTATCGATCGTTTACCGAGTAATTGGTATAATCGTTTCAGCCCTAGTAAAAATAAAACTACATGTATAGGAAGCTAGAGAAGGCTATTCTCCAGAGATTCACCGAAAAACATTTTCAAATTTCATCTCCACCCTGCCAATAAACTCAAGAATGAAGTCAAAATTCTCCCGAAAAAATGTACCGCCCCAGCCACCTTGACCGCACACATCCGTTTTCCACCAGAATATCCGGATAGGCAAGGGAACCGGATAACCGAACACCGGTTATGTTGGATGCACCACGTATGCTGTGAATCTGTAACCAGCTATTTTCTTCCGCATTGCGAGGGATCCGGATAAAAGAGGACAGGAAAAGCAAGGTCTGACTGTAGTCTGATTGTGTGCCGACTTGCTGAGAAGCTGACACCACTGGCATTCAGCTCTCATACTCTACAGACTAAGAATGCATGCCTTCCCCTGGCCTCTCAGAATAACAGCTACTGAACAGTTAACCTACACATCTACAACTGCTGCACGCTGCACTTCGAATGAGGCACCACACACTTCAAATATGCTCGAAGTGCCGAAAGACTGACCGATGCAGAAAGATGCAGAGCTACCTATCAATTGAATGCAGTGAGATAATCAGACGTGAAAAAAGCGTGTGAACTGATAGCGTAGAGATCAGGGGCAGCCATTGCAAAGAGAAGTTCTACGCGTGCTCTGCCCCCACCCCCCCCCCCCCCTCACACACACAGAGCGTAGTTCTAATATGGCAAGAATGTATATGGGTGCCTGGAGCGCAGTGACACCTGGCTGCAAGCACTGTGTACGAGTACTATAGTTTTACAGCGCGGGATGCTGCAAGGCTAGGTGCACTCAGACTTGACGCAGGCGTCGCAATCGTTCTGCGTTTTCAAGTAGCTCTTGCAGCAGGCGGCGCACACGGTACACGAGCCGCTCGGCTGGCACACGTTCGTCTTGGGGCACGCCTGCGCCACGCACGCATCGCAGTCGCTCTGCGTCTTCAGGTAGGTCTTGCAGCAGGCGGCGCAGACGTTGCACTGCGCTGCTGGCGTGCAGACATGGCTACCGGGCGACGGGCCGGGACCACCGCCGTTCAGGACGCTGCGAACCGTCTTGCTGACCTTGTAGGTGAACGTGCCCGAGCCGAAGTCCATGGTGTCCATTGACGTGTCGAACACGAACACTCCGGCCAGTTTATTGTCCACTGTGTGCGACACAGAAGCAGAGAAGTGGCTAAGCAATTAGTTGTTGCCGTACTGTTCAGTGATCGCTTCGGGATGCCATGCGACAGAACCGGCGGAACCAGTCAGCTTTGATTGGTCCCGCCATACCCTAGCCATTCATACAGTTTGTGTATGATACGGAGGGTATACAGGAACCCCTCAGCAGTAAACACATGTTGGTGACCAAAACGTTGGTCCGGTCATGGCCTGACCGACCGGACTGTTTCTGCCGGTCCCGTGCGATTATCGCAGACAGCTACAAGGGCATTTTATAGCGGGATGTACCGCATTTTCCGCCTGCATGAAGCCATGACGTTATAAGGGAACAAACAGACCATTGGAAAAGGTGATGTACATGTGCGATGCGACTGGCTGCACAACAGTAGTTCATAATCGACTGATAGGTTTGCAGTAGCGCGTTTCTGTCTCACCGCCATCGCTTAAAAAACACTGAGGCTATTTTCTCCAAATTTGTTTGGTCGCCTCACCTACACCTCCATAGTTTGTATACGCATGCAATTTCGGTGTGAATGATCACATGTCATGATGATCTTATGACAGTGCATATACATGTGCATTTAGTGCATCACCTGGTGTGCATGCTATGTCAGCATTGCCGCAGCCATACAGTACACAGTGCACCCTGGCCGTCCGCTGAGCACCACCCAGAACGGCACAGTCATGCACAATTCAGGTTAAAAGCCGGGCAAGACGGAGCTCTTCCGGCACACGGCGCAACAGTCTTTCGTCCATTCGTTTGTCTGTTTAAAACTGTCGTTTGTAGCAATACTCTGCCTCTCGGGCCTTGATGTTGTGCCTCGTGCTAGCTATTGGTCTGGTTTTTTTCTTGACCCTTGTCGTGTTGTCTATTGTTGGCTGTCCCCTTCCCGTATCCATCCAGCATATGCGAATCTGTGGGCATTTATCATGTAGAAATTGCTGACATTGACGCGGAAATGCGATTAATAATAATACTATGACTGAGCTGCATACAACCATGCAGTACACCCTGGTCACACCCCCCCCCCCCCTCCCCAGAACTACCCAGAACTACCCAGAACCTCCCTGAGAACCACATGCACAATTCACTGAGCTATAAGTCATGACCAACCTGCATATTTCGTTATGGCGGCCGCCGATGTCTCTTCATTGTAAGTGATCCACGTCCCTGCCTTGGTCCAGCCGTCAGAGCTGTCCGATACCAACTGTGGATCTTCTCAGAGAATGAAAAGGTCAGTGCTTTACCAGGTCAGTTACTAGCCTAACTCTTTTAGTGTTATTTTCCTACCCACCGTACTGGACTATTACCACCAAATGCATACACTGGAAACAGTCACTTGTACCAGTGACTCTTTCACTGGGATTGTTCTCCCGTCCACGACGGGACTTTCCCCACCAAACACGCACATCACCGTAGTATACTGCACAGTAGAGCTAAGTGCATTTCAAAACTTAGTTTTTTTGTCTCTGTCTATTTGCACCGACTTGCATGCTATCCATGACCCCTTGTCTTGAGCCACCGTGAGAGCGTAAAGAGAAATGGCACATGTTTTAACTGCCAGTACTTGAAGTCGTGTTATTTTTGAAGTAGTATTTTGTTTTATTCATAATATGGTGCTAAATACACCTGGCAATATGGCGGTGACTACACGCCTGCCCACACACGCTCTATTTTTTAAACTAATATTGTTACGGCTAGCCTTTAGTCAGCTAGAAACTTTTCCTGTGTGAAAATTGCAGCTTACAGCGGGCTTCACTATCTGCCACCTTATTATTATAATCATAATAAATTTATTTTTAACGTATAATATTTTTAACCGTCTCAAACATTCTGATGAAATATTATGCTAGGACACTGTTGCATCCCCTTGATGTTTTTCTCATAAAGCGGAGAATTTCGTTTCTCTATTTTTTTTGGAGAGCCCTGCCGAACTAACTTTAATAGGCTGTGTTATTTTTTATATACATCTACTAGTAGTAGACAGCCCCCCCCCCCCCCCCCCCCCGCTAGGACCCGCACATGCACTTGCATTGCTGGGTCCCTCACATGCACTTGTATCTTAGGCATTCTGCTGTGGCTGGCCCTTTTGCAGTTGCTGCTGATGTTGTCTACAGTATAGATAATAATCATAGTGTACTGGAGCTATGAAGACAATTCCCTCAGACGAATGTATATTATTCGTTCTACTGAACTGCGACCTGGTGCTTAGTGTATGCTCACTATCACACTGCGTCACACAATCTACATTTCTGCAAGCAGAGGAAGCGAAAATAACGGGCAACAAACAGCCATGGGTTGTGTGCGGCATTCTGTCCAGCAAACAGATACGGTCAGATTTTTCCACGGACCTTTAATAAAACGTTTTCAATTTTTGTCCCAAAGTAAAAATAAAACTACATGTATAGGAAGCTAGAGAAGGCTATTCTCCAGAGATTCACCGAAAAACATTTTCAAATTTCATCTCCACCCTGCCAATAAACTCAAGAATGAAGTCAAAATTCTCCCGAAAAAATGTACCGCCCCAGCCACCTTGACCGCACACATCCGTTTTCCACCAGAATATCCGGATAGGCAAGGGAACCGGATAACCGAACACCGGTTATGTTGGATGCACCACGTATGCTGTGAATCTGTAACCAGCTATTTTCTTCCGCATTGCGAGGGATCCGGATAAAAGAGGACAGGAAAAGCAAGGTCTGACTGTAGTCTGATTGTGTGCCGACTTGCTGAGAAGCTGACACCACTGGCATTCAGCTCTCATACTCTACAGACTAAGAATGCATGCCTTCCCCTGGCCTCTCAGAATAACAGCTACTGAACAGTTAACCTACACATCTACAACTGCTGCACGCTGCACTTCGAATGAGGCACCACACACTTCAAATATGCTCGAAGTGCCGAAAGACTGACCGATGCAGAAAGATGCAGAGCTACCTATCAATTGAATGCAGTGAGATAATCAGACGTGAAAAAAGCGTGTGAACTGATAGCGTAGAGATCAGGGGCAGCCATTGCAAAGAGAAGTTCTACGCGTGCTCTGCCCCCACCCCCCCCCCCCCCCTCACACACACACAGAGCGTAGTTCTAATATGGCAAGAATGTATATGGGTGCCTGGAGCGCAGTGACACCTGGCTGCAAGCACTGTGTACGAGTACTATAGTTTTACAGCGCGGGATGCTGCAAGGCTAGGTGCACTCAGACTTGACGCAGGCGTCGCAATCGTTCTGCGTTTTCAAGTAGCTCTTGCAGCAGGCGGCGCACACGGTACACGAGCCGCTCGGCTGGCACACGTTCGTCTTGGGGCACGCCTGCGCCACGCACGCATCGCAGTCGCTCTGCGTCTTCAGGTAGGTCTTGCAGCAGGCGGCGCAGACGTTGCACTGCGCTGCTGGCGTGCAGACATGGCTACCGGGCGACGGGCCGGGACCACCGCCGTTCAGGACGCTGCGAACCGTCTTGCTGACCTTGTAGGTGAACGTGCCCGAGCCGAAGTCCATGGTGTCCATTGACGTGTCGAACACGAACACTCCGGCCAGTTTATTGTCCACTGTGTGCGACACAGAAGCAGAGAAGTGGCTAAGCAATTAGTTGTTGCCGTACTGTTCAGTGATCGCTTCGGGATGCCATGCGACAGAACCGGCGGAACCAGTCAGCTTTGATTGGTCCCGCCATACCCTAGCCATTCATACAGTTTGTGTATGATACGGAGGGTATACAGGAACCCCTCAGCAGTAAACACATGTTGGTGACCAAAACGTTGGTCCGGTCATGGCCTGACCGACCGGACTGTTTCTGCCGGTCCCGTGCGATTATCGCAGACAGCTACAAGGGCATTTTATAGCGGGATGTACCGCATTTTCCGCCTGCATGAAGCCATGACGTTATAAGGGAACAAACAGACCATTGGAAAAGGTGATGTACATGTGCGATGCGACTGGCTGCACAACAGTAGTTCATAATCGACTGATAGGTTTGCAGTAGCGCGTTTCTGTCTCACCGCCATCGCTTAAAAAACACTGAGGCTATTTTCTCCAAATTTGTTTGGTCGCCTCACCTACACCTCCATAGTTTGTATACGCATGCAATTTCGGTGTGAATGATCACATGTCATGATGATCTTATGACAGTGCATATACATGTGCATTTAGTGCATCACCTGGTGTGCATGCTATGTCAGCATTGCCGCAGCCATACAGTACACAGTGCACCCTGGCCGTCCGCTGAGCACCACCCAGAACGGCACAGTCATGCACAATTCAGGTTAAAAGCCGGGCAAGACGGAGCTCTTCCGGCACACGGCGCAACAGTCTTTCGTCCATTCGTTTGTCTGTTTAAAACTGTCGTTTGTAGCAATACTCTGCCTCTCGGGCCTTGATGTTGTGCCTCGTGCTAGCTATTGGTCTGGTTTTTTTCTTGACCCTTGTCGTGTTGTCTATTGTTGGCTGTCCCCTTCCCGTATCCATCCAGCATATGCGAATCTGTGGGCATTTATCATGTAGAAATTGCTGACATTGACGCGGAAATGCGATTAATAATAATACTATGACTGAGCTGCATACAACCATGCAGTACACCCTGGTCACACCCCCCCCCCCCCCTCCCCAGAACTACCCAGAACTACCCAGAACCTCCCTGAGAACCACATGCACAATTCACTGAGCTATAAGTCATGACCAACCTGCATATTTCGTTATGGCGGCCGCCGATGTCTCTTCATTGTAAGTGATCCACGTCCCTGCCTTGGTCCAGCCGTCAGAGCTGTCCTCTGGTAGGTAAGCGATCATTGTCTCGGTTTTCTTGTCGTAGAAGGTCTGCGGTCCCGATGCATCAATCTCGCTGACCATCATTGTGCCGCACAGCTGACAACCTTTACCGTACTTTGCACCGTATGTCTGCTTGAACGGACCACAGCACAGACCTGCAATGTGGCAGAGGAGAGGGAGAGAGAGAGAGAGAGAGAGAGAGAGAGAGAGAGAGAGAGAGTGAATGAGTGTGTGTGTGTGTGTGTGTGTGTGTGTGTGTGTGTGTGTGTGTGTGTGTGTGTGTGTGTGTGCGTGTGTGTGTGCGCGCGTGTGTGTATATGTGTGTGAGAGAGAGAGAGAGAGAGAGAGAGAGAGAGAGAGAGAGAGAGAGAGAGAGAGAGAGAGAGAGAGAGAGAGAGAGAGAGAGAGAGAGAGAGAGAGAGAGAGAGAGAGAGAGAGAGAGAGGGAGAGAGAGAGGGAGAGAGAGAGAGGGAGAGAGAGAGAGTGAACGAGCAAACGAGTTAGTGAGAGAGTGTGGGAAAGAGAGAGAGAGAGCTACTTGCAAATGTTCAGGCTAAACTGATTCACCATGTGACCATACACACACACACACACACACACACACACACACACACACACACAAGGCTCGCATGGGTAGCAGGGCAGCTGCAACGGCTTCAACCACTGCTTGGAGATGGCTTTTGATCTTACCCTGAATTTCGCCCTTCAGACCATACGTTTTCCAGGCATCACCCGTTAGACCTGGCGCAAACCTGTGTGTACAGCATTACAGGAGAGGCAGCACAAACGGCACACAGCACGATCAAGCAGCAGCAGCATGCAGGAATCGGGACTAACGCTATACTGTAGTGCGATGCCTACGGAGAGCTGGTACTGGTACCATAAGCTTACAAGTCCTCTTCTTTCCTCAATGTTCACCCTGCAGGCGGCTGCTACTTGCACCGAGAGGCGCACTAGAGGGCAATCATTCTCTTCACTTTCTTTGCCCGCTGCCACCACTAGATATGGCATGTTCTCTATTTCCTTCCTTGGCGCTGATAGGTGGAATTCTCTCAGCCTGTCTCGTGTCGTCAGGTTGAGCATCTATCCGTTTTTGTTTCACTCTGTAAAGAGCACTTGGGAAGTTAGGGTTCCCTCTAACAAGACGTCTGTAGGGCCTTCCCTATCAAAATAATAAATTCTACTGCTATTCTACTACTACTACTGGGCCATGGGAGTCACATGCGCGGTCAGACTGGTCAGACTGGTCACATACAGCAGGAGTGCACAATACAAATTACATAAACTGTAACATCAAAAGTGGCTTAGATCTTGATTTGATCTTGATCGGATCTTGGTTTGATCTTGATTTGATCCTGATTTGATCCTGATTTGATCTTGATTTGATCTTGATTTCAAAATTACTCCAGGTCGGCGAAATGGCGGTCAACACGTGAAGAACATCACACGCTCCACGGCTAGCTGTGCACAATGGTTCGTCACACCCTGTGATGT